AAAGAATTTCATATTACTATGCACATTAATTTATATGTTAATAATTACGTCATTAAATCTTTTCAATTCACATATTCTATATTACTGCGATTATCTTGAAACATTAATATAATATATTAAATCATTATATACTATATTAAATCATTATATAATAACTCATATACTCACATATATATACATATATATACATAATAAGATAATGCCAATTCAGTATAATAACGCCTTTCAAGATTGCATAAACGCAATTTGTGAGTTCATCGACTATCCTTTCTCTTTTATTAGTCTATAAACCGATCAGAAAGGTACTATATTATATTTCGTCGCATAAAATCATTATTTAAAGTGCCCCAGAATCGAAGAAATGCTCTAAAGAAGAGATGCTCTTTGGATGTATACCTCGTTCAAGGCGCTGCGCCCGCGGTATCGACGGAAAAGTAATTCTCAACCATGCAACTAATCCTAATCTCTTTAAGCGAACTACTCACAACGATTTCATGAATATACAAAACAAAGCTCGAAGCAAAAAAAAACCGTGTCGCGTCGCGCCGCCGCCGCTGCCGCCGCCTTTTTCGCCGTCGAATAACGATACGCTCGAGAGAATCTCCCGGATTTAACTTTCGAGGGAAATTTCCAAATGGAGCGAGAACAATTTCGCCGTTTTTCCACCAGTCCTTCCTTTCCCGGCAACAAATAACCGCGGTTTCTCTGCACTCGATAGCCGTTATCGATCTAAATCGCGATTAAATTTCGCCCCGAATGTACACGAAAGATATTTAACTTTCACGAGCGTAATCTTCAATAAATTTTCTTAGATTCGTTGTTGATTAGAATTTCAATATTGATGCGGAAAATTAACTTAAGAATTATAATTAAAGATTTGCTTATGTAAATTTACCCTCCATTTGCAATCGTCTTTATTCTTTCCATTCTACAATCTGAATCTTCTTTATCCAATCCAAGTTTCTTATTATTTTATAGGCTTTCCAAAAATTTTCAAAAATTCAGAGCTTTATAACATCTCTATTACATTACCAATAGGTATTTTAACTCAAATGTTAAAACCTTTGTATTTAATAAAAATCGAGAAATAAAGAAAAAATTTGAAATTTTTGCTTGTGCCAAGAAAGACTCAGATTGCGGATAGAGGATTAAAAATAAATATATCTTCCTCCTTTTTATAAAAAAAACTTTAAATTTATACTTTTCTTTATTTACAAAATTTCATTTATTTACACTTACTGATCGCGCTTTGAATAATCAAAATATGAAAAATTAAAAATGAGAGTTTTCGCACACAGATCAAATTACAAGATAGGAAGAGCATCAAATTCCATGGCTATCGATTTTTCGTCTCGGCTGGTGTCGGAGCTCGAAATGCAAGCTCGTAATTGGCACCGACATAATTAACCCTCTAGACAAACTAAACTAGGATCCCGAGTCGAACAAATATGACGTTACAGAGGAGTACCGTCTCTCCAGTGGCGGATGGTCGGCGTAGACGAATATGATTCATAAGGGAAATATTCCCCTTGTGAATACAGTTCGAACGCTTCAGTCATAATGTTGCGTTTCGCATGAAACCACGTGAACCGTGCATCACGAGAACCACAGTCGAACTTATTGAACGACGAGTTAAATGTGCCGGCGAAGAGTGGGATGAAGTAAAGAAAGATAATTGACGCGATAACAAAGACAAAAGGAAATTACCCAAAATTTGAAATATACGGATAAATACAATATACAACGATGTGAGATCAATTGGAGAATATTGGAAATCAATACGTTGCTGCGTTCAGCAAAGAAAGCAACCAATTATTTTTTTTTTATATTTGGTACTTTTGCATACAAATATTTAGAGATTTTGATTTAGAATGCTGCAAAATTGTTTACTAACAAAATTAATTACTGACGCGCGTAATCATAATTAAATAACTTAATTACAATCAAATTAATTAATTTTTAAAATTTATAAAAAATTATATTTTTATTCTCTTTCTCTGATAGACATTAAAAAATTCAAATCTTAAAATGTCAAAATACATAAAATTTCAAAGATTTAAAATTTTAATCGTAAATATCTCGAAAATTATAATTTTAAGCATTCCACGTTCTTCAACTCTGAAAGCTCTTGAATCTTTAAATTCTGTTTCCGTGTATGTTTTCGATTATACTTTACGATAGAATATTAATGTTATCAGAACTTTAGGTCCTTTAATACCTTATCGTTCATTCGTGAACTCGCGCATTACCGTTGGAATATTTAACTTTCCAAATCTTGAATTCTCCCGGACTCTTTGATCTCAACATCGTGAATGCATGTCTATATATAAAATAAAGCGAATAGAGAGAGCAAACTCTCTGAGAGAGATTCACCTCGTACGCTCTGAAAAGCAGATAGAGCTCCCTCGGCTTGGTGTCCATCGGCAAGCCGCTCACGAACAAGGTGCGCACCTGAAACAGGAGAGAAAGAGAACGATAATTGAGTTAATTAACCTAATTGGCTAGTGTAGAGGGAAAGAACAGCAACAGAGAAATACAGCAACAGAGACTAAGAGAGAAATACAGAGACAGAACAAGAGAGAGAAAGAGACAGACAGACAGACAGACAGAGAGAGAGAGAGAGAGAAGACGAGCGAGGAGGTGTGTAGTACAGACTCCAGACTGGCAGACGAGGAAACCGACTTCCTTGACTCCTGCCCTCGTCTTGCCAGATAAATCGATAACTAATTGCAGAATCAATGTAAGATGCCCCAAGACAGGAAGAAGTCAGTCCCCCTCGTTCGTCATCCTTTTTAATTTCGCGATTAATTCGACAATTTATGAAGGCGATCCCAATTAATTGTGGCACAACCCTTAGAGATCTTTGAAAGTGATTCCCGAAGATATTTCTTCCTTCCTCGCGATATCAATCATCTTTTCCGGTCGTTCGTCATTAACATCAATGTGGCTGAATTAATGTAATATTATTTCGCTTTCAATGAAGAATGTAAATCGGGTTTTCGTATTGAGTGCTATCATCGGAAACAATGCAGCTAGAAAGGAGACTGATGCTGAATCGAGGCAGCTTTCGCTAGCGAACGCTTGTTAAATACAGTTCGTGCGCAGATAATTGCTAATTAAGTGTCCTCAATAAGAATATTAGTAATTCATCCATTTATTTAGCATAGCTTTTTTATTATGTTATAAAATTTTAT